AACAGGACAACAGGACAATAGGACAATAACAGGACAACAGGACGGCCGTGTTGACGTTGAGTCGGCCTCTGAGAGACGACTGCTGTGCTGTAGGATCTGACTGCTCTGAACTGGACTAGACTGGACTCTATGGACTCCATGACTTGAGGCAACACGGTGTACCACTGACCATGAGGTACATGGCTCCTGAGGTTCTGACGGGTCTCAGTCCTGGGACAATGGACAGGCCACTGTAACAGATCTCTGCGTTGGTCTGAGAGAAGAAGAAGAAGAAGAAGAAGAAAAGATGAACTCTGTGCAGGAGAAACAGCGCAGCCACCTGGTCACAGCACCACAGTTCTCTGACCTTCAGTAAGCTGATGGTGTTGTCATAGAAGCTCTGAGGTGTGTTGTTGAAGATGCCCTCTAGTGCTCCCTGCACAATACTGCAGCCTCCCAGAATCCTCTGGCTCAGTTTGACCAGTCCCTGTCGGATCTGAAGGTGACGTGGACAGAAGCAGATCAACACCTGACCGGGACAAATCTTTACTAAGACCTAGGATGTACGGAGACCAGATCCACCTACTGCAGGTCCAAACACATCGTTCCTGTCGTGGATCAGAACCCATCCCATCCTCCAACCAGGAACCAGCCAGCGTTTGGCCAAACCCCCACAGGACAGGATGGGGACGTCGCTGCTGAGAGAGGCCATGGAGGGACACTCACAGCCAGGTAAGACCTGGAGACACGGTCAGGAGCAACTAGATGGTCAAGTCATGAAGCAGACCAATACAAATCACTGCTCCTCTGTGGTCAGTTTCTGGTTGATGGTCCGATATCTTCAGAACTTGGTGTCACTAAAGTTTTCAAACCATCGATCTCTGACACCAACGTCCAACACCATTGATTTTAGCTCAGCGCCACATGAGCAGCTGGTGCCTCCTGTGGTCACTTGGTGCCACTGAGGCAAATCTGAACAAAGAATTGTGAAGAAAATCCCACACTTGCTGAGCTAAAATCGCTGGTTTTCTCTCTGAGGTTTGGTGTGGGAGAGTTAACATGTTCCACTAAAGCAAACCAAAAAAGAGAGAGAGTAATGTTACAGGCACCTCGCTCCCCCCTCAGAAATCTGCTTCTCATTAAACCAGAACAGAATCTTGGACCAGAACAGACAGAACAGACACCACAGACACCACAGACACGTCCCCCTGAGCTGGACTCTGGTTCAGAACGGGTGAAGTGATTTACAGCTTCATGCGTCATTGACTTTGGCCTGTTTTCTCACATTTCATCCTTTCAGTCCTGCTGAGTCTCACACACACACACACACACACACACACACACACACACACCAGTCCTGGTACATTGGGGGGGATCATATCAACAATAAGATATTTTCATTTTATTTATTACCACCGGAGGTATTTAAATTTCATTGTGTCATGATTAATTAGGAACATTAATATGAAAAGTTCTAAATAAAAAGTACTGGTTCTGAGACCAGTTCACTGTGGCAGAACTCATATTCCCTTTTTTTTGGTTCACCCCAAAAAGTTCTGGGGGTTTGGTACACACACAGACACCATGGCCTCCCACAGAGGTCATGGTCTCACCCCCTCCTCCCCAACACACACACACACACACACACACACACATGTAACACACGTAACACACTTTCCTTCCCTGTGTCCTGAAACGTCATCATTATATTTAAGTGCAAACATATGGAGCCCAGAGAAAAGTGCACGATCACGCTGATGCTGCGTCCAATCAGATGAGATTGACAGATGGGCGTGTGGGGGTGGGAGGAGCTTCAGGATGCACTCAGCGACCTCGACTTTAAACTTTTCCACTCAGATTGTGGACCGGCCTCTAACTCTTCTTCTAAAACCAGCTGAGAAACACAAGTCCTAAAAACTGGTCTCATCGCGTGTCGACTTCCTCTTCTTCTGTTGGTGAGTCGTTAAAATCACACGTGTTGAATAAACACAGAACGTTCCAGTGTTCTGGACACGCCTCACACACTATTGGCTGGATTCAAGCCAATCAGACGAGGAAGACAACAATTGCTGCTTCAACATCTTAACCATTTAACATCAGGTTGAAAGTTCCATTCACTTCAGTGGACCAGTCTCCATGGACTTTGGTCTGAGCTAAAATCACTGATTTTCTCTATGGACTTTGGTCTGAGCTAAAATTACTGATTTTCTCCATGGATTTTGGTCTGAGCTAAAATCACTGATTTTCTCCATGGATTTTGGTCTGAGCTAAAATCACTGATTTTCTCCATGGACTTTGGTGTGGGCCGTAAACAATTCCCTCGTGAATATCAGACCCACAGGCTGCAGGTCACAGTCACCTGACCTCTCATTTTGCTAAGCTGATTTTTTTGCCCCTCCTGTCCAAACCCCAGTGACCGCCTGCTGCTGTGGCTCAGTGTATGTCGCTCTACTCACCATGTCACTGTAGATTTCATCAGCCAGGATTGGAACACAGTGTCTGGAGGCCACTGAGGAAACAACAGTGAAGACATTTTACCACTGATGACATCACTGATGACATGAGTGGCGGTCATGACATCACAGTCACTGCCGCCGGAGTTCAAGCAGGACTTCAGAATTCACTCTTTTCTTTTTGTGATCTAAAATCACCAATTTTCTCTATGGACTTTGGTCATGGACAGACGGCGGTCGTTCCCTCTCTGTGCCGCCGTGACCTCTCACCTCTGAGGATCTTCTGCAGGTGTTCTTTGCTGTAGACGGAGCCACACGGGTTGGAGGGGTTGGTGACGACCAGACAGGAAGTTCTGTCGTCGATCAGACTCTCCATGTGCTTCAGGTCCACTTCCCACTCCTTCTCAGGCTGCAGTCACCGAGACACGGCCGGGAGACAGAGACAGAGACAGAGACAGAGACAGAGACAGAGACAGAGACAGAGACAGAGACAGAGACAAACACAAACACAAACACATTTAATACATGACAGAGACAGAGACAGAGACAAACACATTTAATACATTTTAAAATGTGTTCAAATGTTTTGAACATGTGTTGAACTGCAGCCGTGTGTGTGTGTGTGTGTGTGTGTGTGTTTGTCCACACTCACCAGCAGGTCGTAGAATTTGACCTTGATGCCCATGGACACGGCCAGGGTCTTATATAAGGAGAACCCCGGCCGTGGGACCAGGATGTTGTCCCCTGCGTTACACAGGACACTGATCACCAGGTCAATGGCATGACTGCAGCCGCTGGTCAGGATCACGTCCTGCAGGAGGTTCCAGGAAGAGAGAGCACAGTCGGACATCAGCTGTTTGATAAGCAGTGTTTACACACCACTGGTTCTCAAACGGTGGACTCTGTGGAGGACCTCCAAAAACTGGGTCTGAACAAACACCGACAACATCGACGGAGCAGCTCATGGCTGAGCTGAAACTCCTCCCACCTATGATGCAGCCCACTGTCCAGTGTTGTGGACCAGTGGCCCACCAGTGACGTGACTCACATCACTGACCAGGTGGACCAGCTGAAATGGTGCGATGCCCCCAGTGGAGGTGTATAGAAAACTCCCACCTCATAGAAGATCCTGGACTAAGGAACCACAGTTTGAGAACCATTGACTGAGATGATCAGGACTGATGATTGTGGTGAATAAATGTGAAGTGAAGCAGAGAAGGAGATGGCCAACCTCTGCCTCTAGTGGCGCCTTAGGGCAACTGTAGAAGTTGGCAACTGCCTGTCGGCTGGTTGCGTAACCTGCAGGAGAACACAGCCACACGTTCTCATTAGAACCACACAGCATCACAGAGACAGTGAACCTTCTCATGTCAGGCGCCCCCTGTTGACAGTGGTGAGCCTCACCAACGGACGGAGCGTAGCCGTTGTATTTGTGCGAGTCGATGGCGTCTTTCATGGCCTGGAGCACGGCGTCGTCCGTGGGCAGGTTCCCAAACACGGTGGGGTCTCCTGCAGAACCAGAGGTTGGGCTTCGTTTAGAGAAGAGTCAAAACTCGCATCATCACATGACCCTAAGCTCCGTTGATCTGATGAAGCCCCGCCCCCTCCTCACCTATAGAGAGTGCGATCATGGGCTTGTCAGGATGTGGCGTCAGCTTCATCTCGTCCACGATGGACCTGATGGGGTTCACCGTGTTGATGGACATCTCTGAGGGCTTCACCGTCCACCGCAGCCGACGACCCTTCATCGCTTTGGCCGGTGAAGGGTTGACGTGGCCGACACCGTCTCCGTGGGCGTGGTTCTTACCGTTGACTACGCCCATGGGCTTACCACTGATTAGTGCTGTCAAGAGAATAAAAAAAAGAGAGAGAGAGTAATTACCGTATTTTACGCACTATAAAAGCCTTTAATTTTCTCAAACACAGACAGTCGCCTTATGGTCCGAAAAATAGGGTAATTATGATCTGTAATTAATTGAACTAATTAATCTATTTTTGTGTGACAGATCAAAAGATTGATAAATAACCCAAAAAAATGACTTTATAAAGTCATTGATTGTTTTTGTCAGACTTGAACAGATGCAGTCGTTCCATTTCCATTCCACTGCCTGGGACCTGCAGTTACGACCACCGTGGAGGGAATGTTTAAGATTCTTCTCTCAGGTTTGTTTGTCACCCCTACCATTGATGCTGGTTGTCTTGTTACCGCTGGTACCGTTCGTCTTCACAAAGTAGGACCGGTTCTCCATCCTGCACCCGGGGACGGGAGGAGGGGCATGAGAAAAGGGGGGAGGGGCAGAAGAAAAGGGAGGGGCAGACAGAGGGGGGTTGTAACGGCAACTCCTTCACATTGAAGTTCAAACTCGTCTCCATCTGAACAGGTTTTTTTAACGTTAACATTTACAACTGAAACATCTTCAGTTTCGACGTTAAATTCTAACAGAGCTTAGTTTTTGAAAAGTTTCGATGATATTTTTCAAATTAAAATGTTGCATCATCATCACTAAGTTAAATTAAAGGTCTGAAAATATTTGAAGTTACAGTATAAATATGAAGTGAAATATTACTGAACATTGAATTTCATTTAAAATATTTTTTTTTATATTTTAAAATATATTTGAGTAAGCAGAAGGAGAGAACATTTCTGATGTTTAACATTAACAACGAAACGGGAAAATTAAACTCCAAAAAACACCAAAAACACATCTCAAACATCAAGATGGAAAAAATGTTTTTCTATATCAGCAGTAAAAAAATGTGAAGAGTAAATTTAAAAAAAAAACATTAGAAATAAAGGACATTTTTACAATAACTCAAAATTAAACAGACAAATATTAGAAACAAGACTAAAATTTAAAGAGTTAAAAAAAGTTTTAAAAAAAGTCACATGACTGGACCAGCTGACCACATCTAAGGCTTCACTCACCTTCAGAAATATCACACTAACACTTGTTTCCAGAGAAAATGTCCCAGAGTTCAGCAGCAGCAGCAGATTTAGAGAGTGCGGCTCCGCGCCGCGTTTTATAAGGATTTCTTTGTAAAATGGGAGTTGACCCAGAATTCCATTGGTGGAAACGGAGGGTTCAGCCGCACACCCTCTGATGACATCACCAACCAGGACCACATCAAATATCAGCAGGAGTGTGAGACAGGGGGAGAGGGGGAGACGGGGAGACGGGATGGAGTTGCTCAGGTTTTGAGGGGACCGTGGCCCTGACCTTTGACCTCTGAATTCTTCCTGAACTGATGCATCACAATGCAAGACTGATCATTACAGTCTTGTAAGAGCCTCTGACAGACAGAGCCTCTGAAGGTGGATGGGGAGGGGAGGGGTGTCAGGTGGAGGGGGTGGTGAAAGAAGAGAGAGGTAGAGGCAGAGGGAGAGAGGGAGAGGGAGAGAGAGGCAGAGACAGAGGGAGAGAGAGAGAGAGACAGAGACAGAGGGAGAGAGAGATGTGGAGAAAAGAAAAACAACAACAGACGGCAGTGTAAAGTCCACTGTGTGTGTTTTCATGACATCACACACATCATTGTTACCTCAGAGCCTTTCCAGGAAGAACGCGGTCATGTGACAGTGATGTGACAGTGATGTGACAGTGATGTGACAGTGATGTGACAGTGATCTAACAGTGAGAGTAAACACATCTACTGTTTAAATATCACATTTTCTTTAAAAAAAAAAACTAGCTTCAAAAAACAAGTCTTCACTTCAGTCTGAGCTAAAATCACTGATTTTTAGTTGATGTAAAATGTTAAGCTAGCCTGTCACTCATTTGGAATCGGTTCTTATACAGTGGCAGTTCTTCAGGCATTAGCGGTTCACCGCTGCTAACGAGTCAAAAGTAACTCTGTCATCAGTTCTAGTTCTGTCATCAGTTCCCGTTTGTTCCTTTTCTTCTCCTTTGCTCAGTACTCTCTGTCCTCATTTTACTTCCATCACATAAACAAAACTCTGAGTAAATACCACTGAGCAAACACCGGAGGCACTGTTGACCAAACGGCTGACCTTCAGCCATTTTCACTGTGACACACAGCTGACCACTGCAGCAGCAGGCCCTCAGTAAACAGCGTGGACAGAAGGACAAACAAACAGTTTGACTTTCGACAACATTTTTTTCCATCTTTATTTTCAAACTTTTATTATTAAAGTTTAGGTCGTAAGGTGAACCGTAACAACTGCCCCGACACTGACAGTGCAGACTAACATGTCACGTGTAGCCTCAGAGTTGTATTGCAATTATTACCAGTCATTTTCTTATGCTGTTTTATATATTGTACATACTGTATGTGTATATGTTGTAACAGTTTTTTATGATTGATCGGTGTTGTATTTAGTTAGGAGCGAATAAATGAACAAATGAATAAACAAATAGTGCTTGTCATTGATGACTTCCTTTTATTGATCAAAATGACTTCACAGACAAAGTTCACCTCATCGTCTGTTTTCCTCATCATGTTTCCCTTCGTGCAGGCGTCCATGTATAAAACACTGTTTGAATCCATTTGGCGCCTTTAGAAGACTTCTGGGAGAATTCCTCTCTATCGGTAACGTTAAGTAGAACCACGGAGGACGCCGTGTCCCCAGAAGTGTTGACATCAATCAGCTACTCGATTGGTGTAGCACGATCACGATCACGTGCCGCCCTGAAGACGCTTCGGGCAGGATGTTTTGCGACAAATGTTTTGCTGTAAGTTTAACGTAACTCTTTCTTTTTTATGAAGTTGAGATCATGGAGTTCCCAGACGTCGGAGCAAGATGAAACGATAATCGGGTTCACCTTTTGGCCTAAAAAACAATAACTATTTCTACAGATATCATATAATTATGCTAATATCGGTCGGCTGATGTTATCAGATCTTTAGTTAGATTCTAAAAAGTGATTATTAAGATTTTTCAACGTCGACTTGTGCGATTCGACAAAATCAACAAACAGAGAAAACAACATAAACTTTAAATAAATAAATAAATGAAGCAGAGCGTCAAAAACTTCTGTCTTTTTTTTCCCACATCTGTTTCGACTCCTGGAGACTTGGTCACCTGGTCTCTGAAGGTTCCACAGCCAGTGAAGGATCGTGTTCCCGACGTTCCACCAGTACCATCACCCAGACCTGGATCTTCTGAAGACCGTGGACAGTTCACACCTTGAACCAGCTGTAGTCCAAAAACAGTCTTTTCCTCTGCTGGACGCTGGGCTCGTAGTCGGGGTCCCGGTGGAGCGAGTCTTCACTGCTGGAGGAGGGACTGGAGTAAAGGATGTTCACGTCGAAAGTAGAAGAAGAAGACGAAGATGAAGAAGAAGAAGAGTCCTGGTGGTCCTCCAGATGAGGTCCAGGGACACGCACCTCAGGTTTGATCCTGATGAGGTTCACGACAGGCTGCAGGAACGGAGACTGGAGAAACACGGCCTGGGTCTGCAGAGACAACCTGGTCTGGACCTGACGAGTCTCAGACCTGGAGACCAGTGGGTCGGGGTTTGGGGTGGAGCAGAGACCAGGTGGAGACTGAAGACTGAAAATGTCTTCTGTGAATGTTGGACAGACGCTGGGGTCTACAGAAGGTGAGAAGGACGCAGCAGGACCACCGAGGTCACCAGGGGTGTCATCCTGAGGAGCAGCAGAACCATGGAACTGTCTGGGTCTGTTGATCTGGTCCTGGGTTTGGTCTGAGGACGAGACCAGACCAGGACTTACTCTTGGACTGCTCCTCCCATTAGAAGAGACGTCCATGAGATCTACCACAGCACCTCCCGGTGGAGACGGAGGAGAAGATCTGGAACCTATGTGAATCTTCTGACCGGACAACGG